TTAGATAGTTGAATTTGTATTTTAGAAAGACATAAAAATTGTAAATGCATAATAACATGTACACAATGAATCTTTCTTGCAAATAAAACAAGGATGAGCCAGTTATTAAAAAAAAAAAAAAAAATGATTGTAGGTTAAAAATTATTTAATCAATATAAAAAAAGATATTATTTTAAATTTGGCTTAATTAAAATAAAAAAAAAGATATTAATTTATTTTAAAATCTAATTGCTTAATTTCATTTATATAAGATATTTAAATTCTCAAGTGTAAAAAATCATTTAAGAATTCATTATACTGTATACGCATACGCATATAAATTTTCCTTGGTTTGATTAGAAAATAGATAATCCTAACGAACACAATTGTTCACGTCCAGCTTGACAGGGATTACGTAAAAAGAACGGCGACGATCTGATAATAAATAAAGTATGTAGCAAATGATAATCTAATTATTTAAATTGTTTATTTAATTATGGAGAAAAGGGATTTTGAAGTCGACACAGGACAAGGTTTCAAACTTTGTGGAACACTGTATTTAAAAGGCGGGGCGCCCTGTGACGATATCGTTATATTTTGCCACGGTCTCCTGAACACGAGAAATTCGAAAGTTATTCAATCCGTTGTTAAAGAAATAGAATTCAACTCGATCGCTTTTGATTTTCAGGGTAATGGCGGGAGTGGAGGGATAACAGGAATAGCAAATTATGCCGAGGAGGTCGAAAATCTTCGTTGCATTGTCTCTTATGTACGATCCACATTAAAACGGAAAGTCTTTTGTATATGTGGACACAGTAAAGGTGCAGCTGTGGTGCTTTTACATGCGTCAAAGTATAACGACGTTCCGATAGTCATCAATATTTCTGGCCGATATGATCATACGCAAGTTCCATCGTACTTTACATCAGAACAAATGGATCAATTAAGAACATCCGGTTCGTTTGTTTTCTGCAAGTTTGGACCGAATAAAAATCGGGATTATGTAGTTCATCAGGAGGATTGGGAGAAAAGGAAGAAATTGGATATGTCTGTTGTAAAAAATATTGACCGACAAAAATCCAGGGTTCTGACCGTTCACGGTTCCAAAGATGACATCTGCCCCCTCGAAGGAGCCCAGACATACCATACATTGATTGGTCCTGAGCCTTATCACAAATTGGCGGTGATTCAAGATGCAGATCATGTTTTTAAAGACACAATGGGCGAGTTGGTGACCAATATATTATCATGGCTCTCGGAGAATGTCTCATGGGTTTCTAATGTATACAGTGATCAATAATCTTTATATTTTAGAAATTAATTAAGATGAAATTTTTGATCAGATTAAAAAAATTTTTTTTTTTTTTTTTTATACGCGAAACCTTAAATTTATACTACAATTAAGTTATTAACACCGGTGGTTGATTAATAGGAAAAATATAACAGAGGTCTATTAATTGAGATCAAGTTTCTTTCGTGTGGATAAAATCGGTCGAACTTGATTTCAAATTGTGTAACATGCCAAGTAATGAAAATAATACTTTTTTTCTCTATACATATTAATGAAGTCTAAAGTCTTCAAAGATTAAGTGGTTATAAATTCCGTGGTCCTACGTTTTATATCATTTGCTTTTCTTACCCTTCCCTTTATCTTTCGAAGTGGCTTTTTTCTTTTGTGCATCATCCATTTTTAACAATTCCTCTTCAGCTTTTTTTCTTTCTTTTTCTAACCTAGCTTTTTCCCTTTTTTCATTTTCAATTTTTTCAGCCTTCTCTCTTTCTTCTTTCTTTTTATATTCTCTCTCTTCTATCTCCCTCAATTCTTTAATTTGTTCGTTAATTTTCTTTTGTTTCTCATGTTGCACCATCTCATTGGCGGTACTGAATATAGTTAAACCCCAGTTTTCTTTGAAGGTATCCGCCTCAGCAGTAACTTCCATGATATCACTTTGAATTTCTTGATCGGCTTCCAAGAATGAAGCCCATAGATCGTCGCCCACGGCTCCTTTCTGTACCAATGCAAGAAGAGCGGGTCTATCAGTCCGCAGTTTTAATAATCTTTCAACGTCAGTCATCGCACGACGCAACAAAGCAGCTTTGAGTTGAAGTTCAGTGGCAGGTGGCGAATCTTGTTGTAAAAGAGAACTGTATATGTCTCTTGTGGTATGTTCAGGGAACCAAGGCACGCGGGTTGCCGTAGCTTAAATTTTGTGCAAGTAGAATGTAAAACAGAAAAATAGAATTTAGATTAATTTCAAAATGATGGATCCGCATTAAATTCTGAATCTTGTGAAAGTGAAAAAGAAACCGTCTTCATTTGAATATTTCCAGGACCATTACAGAATATATTTTTTTTTTAAAATAAAAAAAAAAAAGTACCAGCTTTTCGTCTTCGCCATATGTAAGAAAAGGTGCTCATCACTATGAACATACAGCCCACATAAGCCGTAGTGACTACCCAAGAAGACATAAGTGTAATTGTTATTCAGATTCGACCGATGTCAAAATTGAGGAATTGAGGTTATTACTATAACTAAGCCCGGGTTTGTTTGAGTATGACATTACGAACTGGGTAATTTTAACAGTGGTGGTCATCATTGATTCGTCCAAAAATTCTTGTCATGTTATTATTCGTTCAACGCAAGAATGGCACGTGAAGGGTATGACGGAATGCTTATATAAATATGGCTTATTTTTTCTTGTTCACAAAATAGCTCGCATCATGGAAACTCAGTATTACCAGTATCGACGGGTTATAAAGCATTGGAATAAAGTGGTAGGACTCGAAAGAGGCAAGACCTTTTTGTCTCCTGAACACTTTTTCGCCAGACACGCGAAGACTGAATTTCATATCGGTAAGTCCAAGTGCAGCTTGTTTTTCCTGCCCGTAAAAGTCGCGGTGACGTTATTCACCGGCTTGCATCCGCAATAAAATTAGTCAATTTATTTAATATTATTGCGATCAATTAATTATCTTCGTGTTGCGGTTAAATAATTAAGGTACCAAGTCAGATGGTCAACGTTTCCTATTATTATCCGAGAATTCGATTAAGATCATTAAAGCGGATTTGGAATCTTACGTTTCAATGGAAATTTCTTCAATCGCTGCTGATTATGGTTCATACAAAGATGTAGAACTCGTTTTTATTGAATCACGAGAAGCGTATGAAAAAATAGATAGAGATCTACTGAAGTTCAATAAATTAGTTAAAGAGAAGGACAAAATTGCTCGAGCCGATGCCAAGCTTCGAGTCATAAGGGAATCGTTGGAGGAGGCACGAAAAATGTATCAGGACAAAAAGTATCTATTTGTAGCCATCGACATCGAAAGTTATGAAAGAGATCATTCTTGCATTTTAGAAGTTGGATGGAGCATGTTTAATTCAAAAACCAGCTTATTTATAGATCGTCACTTTTGCGCGACCGAGCATAAATATAAAAGAAATGGTAAATTTGTTGCAGATATGAAGGATCGGTTTATCTTCGGAAAGACAGTTTGGGCAAATCTGAAAACGATTGCCGACGAAATTATAAAAGACTTAACGGAGAACAGTGTCAAAGGGAGTGTTGTCCTAGTTGGACATGATTTCAAGATGGAGGAAAAATATTTAGAAAGTATGGGAGTTAAAGTTGACCAATGCATTAAGCCCGTAAGAATATTTGATACCGCCGAGATGAATGCAGCGAGGGTTGGGAAACCCTATGAACGAATGTCTCTTGGAAGAATACTAGACAGTCTAGACATCGAAAATTACAGTCTACACAATGCTGGTGAGCCAAGTCGCGTTACCATTGGTCCGTTCGTTGATTTTTTTTCCTTATTAAAAATGTCTTTCTTTCCGAAAAAGGAAATGACGCGCGTTACACTTTACTATTATTTCTCGAATTATGTAAACTTCCGCTTGCACCCCCAAAAGAAGATTCTCAAACCAGCGACGATACGGATGATGATGATGGATTTTATATTTAAATATCAAACTCATGAAATGAACAGTTTTAATGTTAATTGAGGGTTCTCTTTAATGAAAACTGAAAAATGGATGCTTTTAAATATTATTATGTTAAGATCGCGTATTTATATCGGTTCTATGAAAATTGCTTATTCTAATCCCAAGCTCTGCAGAAAGGCTTCTGAACATCGTGTGACTTGCTGAAAGTTCTTTTCAAATGATTCATTGTCACCGTAATATGGATCTTCGAAAAAATTAATTACATTAAGATTAGACCGGTTGCGAGAAATTTGTAGCATATAGCAAAGACTACCTACCTTGAATAATTTTATCGCCGAGTGGATCGTAATCTCCAAACAATTTAACTAATCTCGTGAACATGTGAAACATGGATGAGAAAACGACAAATTTAAACGGGAAAGATTCTACATCATACCAATGGCTTTCGATTCTGAAGCTCCAGATTTCATTTCTTTTAGGTGCCCCAAATTAGAATTATCCATGCACAGTACATAATCAAAGGTGTGGAGATCTTCTTCCGTCACCTACGAACAATTCACAAAAAGAAATCATTCACTAGTCTCCCGCAAAAACCAATATCTATACCGGAAGGCATAGATAGCTAACCTCTCTTGCGATATGGTTTACAGGTACACCGTATTTCTTACACGTTTGAATCGTTCTTCTATCGGGAGTTTCGCCTGAGCCGTATATTTAAGTTGAGTGACCGGAATAGAGAAATATTTTTCTAAAATTTGTAAAAATTGGGTGAACTTACCGACATGATAGCTAGCCGTCCCAGCGCTATCGATGATGAATCGAGACTTAAGATTTTTGGAGGACACTGTGTGCAGGAAAACAGCCTCGGCCATTGGACTTCGAGTAATTGAGATGCGTAAGCATTCATCGAATAAATGACAATTGATCCTCGATCCTAACTTACCTTCTGCAAATGTTACCTGCCAAACAAAAACAACCAAAAACTTAAATGGCGCAAAATATGGGTACCAATTAATTAAATTAATTGAATTATCAAATACCTAGACAAACGAAGAGGACACCGATCTTTTGATTCGACATGGTTCCGATAAGAATAAAAAAAGACAAAATGCAGAACAATTTATATGCACACGGGGAATGATCGGCGCGATACTTTTTCTTTGAGATTAAATTAAAGAACAAATCTTTTCGATGAACTAACCCCTGACATGCTGCATATTTCATAATATCAGTTAAAACAACTTTAAAACCTTTAATAATATCAATATACGTAGATCAAATATTCTTTCAAGTAGTAAAAAAGATAATAAATAAGTTGGAAATAAATTATTTCTATTGAAAAAAAAAAACAACGAAATATTCAAACCTTCAGAGTTAAATTAAAATATACTGTATATTTCTAAAAATATAATGACTAATTGAATAATAAGTTATACAGTGTGCTGATATTAAGATAACTTCTTTAATCCTTTAATCTCTTTTTGAAGATACAGTATTTTATAGTAAGATACTTGTAAAAAATTTTTATTGTTAAAAAAAAAAAACTCAATTAATTTTTATTTTTTTTTTAACTCACAATCATGTCACAATGATATGTCTTTATTGAGATATTGAAAAATATCACAAAAGTTTACAGACTTTCACAAAGTGACTAACTCATCATGTACATTATTAGTTAAAAGACTATACTACTTAAAAAATATGAGGAATCCACTAAGCTAATTTGAATTAAACAAAACTAAGTCTAAATCAGATTTTAGGAACAATATTATACTCTCCTAGTAGTTTGGCATTAGCCTCTAAGTCAACCAGGGTTATTGCCAATAGTTTGTCACTGTTGATTATCACAAAAAATAATAAATTGCTAAAGTTGGTATTGAGGAAAAAAAGAAAAAAGAAATACAATTCAAAGCTTTTCAAAAGGTTCTTGCTCCATTTCACAGTTTCCTCTCAAAAGAGGTTTGCCTAATTGGGATATTCTCTAAGCTTCATAACATTTGCGGAACTTAGCCATTCCTAAAAGTAACTTCAAGAAGAACATTTGAAAAACTTATCCTTCTATTGATATATAAATTCATTTAATACTATTGAAACCAGTGCTATATTACGGAAGAGTTTGCTTAATTAGGATAAAAAAATCTTTTCAAGAACTTTGTCTGATTGGAATAGAAGCTTGGAGACTTAGCTTTTATCCAAGAAAGCTTTTTTAGTATCTGAGGATCTTAGTGAGAGATAAGAGTTGAATTTTCTTTTTCTACCTGTTACTTGCCTTTCAGTATCATAATTGTTTTCTAGAGGTTGAACATCATGATTGGAGGGAATACTTTTTCTAGAACTTTCTTTCCTATATCATCAATGATATATTGAGACATGTGAGTATGATCAATAGAAGCTTGTTTATATTTCAAAAACTAACATGTTTCATGTCAGCCAATCACCTTTGGTAAGAATTTGTGCTATCCAAAATTTAGGGTCAAACTGAGGTAGACAAAATTTCCTAAAAAATCATGAAAATAGGAGCTCTAAGAGAGTTAAAACAATTAAAAAAGGAGAAAATAATCCTTTTTACTACAGAAAATTTCTATAAGTCTCTCATTTCAAAGGTTAGAAAGATCTTCAAATACTTCACAGTTAGTTCTTCTTTCTTTGGGAACTTTCTTGTTATTGGTATCAAAGGTGTTACTTGACTTTTCTTGATCACTAGGAGTCAAGTTTTTAAGTAAAGAGATTTATAAATAATAGGAGAAAAGTAAAAGTGATTCTTGAAATTATATTTTAAGTTGTTTTAAGGAAAGTATTAAGACTTTATTAACAAAAAAGTATAAAAACTTCTTGCAAACATCTTTTTTATATGTGGTTAGAGGATCAGCAAAAAGAGTTTTTCCTTAGAATTAATTTTATTTTTATTATATTTTATTATATAATACTATTAAAAAAAAATTTTTTTTAAAAAATAAATTAATAACACATATCTAATTTATTTAGTTTCAATTATATTATATTAAAACTTTTTAAAAAAAAATATTAGGTAAATAACAAAATAATTTATTTGTTTTTTAATATTTATTATTAAAATTTTTAATTTATTTTCTTATAAAATATCTTTATTTAATAGAAATTATAACATTAGTTTATATTATATTTTTGAAATAAGAAAATATAGAATATAAAAATATAGTAGTAAACCAATATTTTATATTTTATTATTTATAGTATTTTAAAAAAAAATAAAAAATAAAAACAATAAAGCATATAAAGAATAATTGTTAATTTCAAAGATTATGAGAAGAGTATTGTGTATATTAGATCAATATATTCAATAAAATTATATAATTTTAATAAGAACTTGAGTAACAAAACTACAAAAAATAGATATATAAATAAATTATTGGATTGTTGAATATTATTTGTTTTTTTTTTTTTTTAACCCACAATCATATCACAATAGCATATTTTTATTGAAAAATTGAAAATAAATTTACAATATTTTACAGACTTTCACAAAGTGACTAACTTATCTTCATACAAAAGTACTTTAAGTCAGATTTTGGAGACAATATTTTTTTCCTAATAGATTGGTAATAACTTCTATCTATCAGAATTATTGCCAACAGTTTGTTACTGTTGATTGTCTAAAAACCAATGAATTGCTAAATTAAAAGAAGAAAGAGAAAGAATAATTTGAGAAAGAGGACAATCCAAGGTTCACCAAAGAAATCCAAAAATAAAAACACTCTCTTCTCAAAATAGACCTGCCTGATTGGGATAGTTTTCTTGCATCATTTGAACCTTAGAAAAAATCTTTTTTTTCACCACCTACAGTATCAAACAAGTCAATCCAACTGGTCTTTCATTTAAGTGAGCATCAGATTAGGATATCTTAAGGAAAGTATTTAGACCTTAGCTTTTTTTCATTAAAGCTTTATTACTACTTGAGAAACTTAGATAAAAGATAGGAGTTTGCAATCCATTACTCATTACTTGGTCTTTTGGTGTCATGGAAGTTTTCATTGAGAAATTTGAGCTTTTTTGGAGCAACTGTTTCCAGAATCTTCTTTCTGATCACCAATGACGTCATTTGAATATATGATTGTGACCAATAAGAGCTTGTTTATATTTCAAAAACTAACATGTTTCGTGTTAGCCAATCACCTTTGATAAGAATTTGTGTTACCAAAAATTCAGGATCAAACTGAGGTAGGCAAAATTTCCCAAAAAACCATGAAAGCAATAGCTCTAAGAGGCCCAATAGTGACTGGAAGGGGAAAAATAAGTCCTTCTGTCATCAAAAACCTCTATATACCTCTTACTTTAAAGGTTAAAAAGACCTTCAGGTACTTCACAATCAGTTTTTCTTCCTTTGGGAACTTTCTTGCCATTGGTATC